TTCAAAAATGGGCATCCAAAATGAACAGACATTTCTCAAAGAAGTAAAAGCAGCAAGAAAATATTTGAAAAAATGTTCCACATCACTGGTCATTCGAGAGATGCAGATGAAAACAACACTGAGATTCCACCTCACCCCACAAAGAATGGCTGCTATCAAGAAATCACACAATAACAAATGTTGGCAGGGTTGTGGGGAGAAAGGAACCCTTCTCCATGGTTGGTGGGAGTGCAGACTGGTGCAACCACTATGGAAATCAATATGCAGACACTGATTTTTATTGGCAATCAATTGGGAAAAGGCAAGCCACGTGCGGTTTTTATGGAAATTAATATAAACAAGGCTCATAAAGAACAAGACAATGCATTCTCAAATCAGGAACAGAATAGACAAAATATATAGCTATATTTTGAACACTGCCCTTCTAGTTAGAAGGTTTTCATTATGGGAATGGAAATTGGGTGTCAGTTATTTTGACCTTGGCGTGCAGGCTTTGGCCAGACTCACTTCTCAAAACAAGCCAATTGTAAGGTTAACTCTTTACAGCTTGCTTTGGGCATAATCAATATAATGGTCCCCTGCAAGTAACAATAAACTAGGATGTTAAAGGAAAAAGGAATTAAAATGACAGGTTTCTCGCTGAACTTGGTGATATAACAAATGGTAAAGTAAAAAAGCAGCAGTTTTGTAGAAGAAAGGGAAGATTCAAATTTGAGACACAATGTTTCCAAGACATCCAAATGGAAGTAAAAGTTAAAAATACAATTAGAAATATAGGTCTGGATTAATGGAAAGAACTGGTTACTGGAATAACAGATTTGGAAATCCTAGATACAGTCAATCCATATTGTTTGTAGTTTTCCATATTTTACAAATTTGGCTACTCACTAACATTTATTTGTCACCAAAAAACCAATACATGCAGTGCTTTTGTGGTCTTTCAGAGACATATACAAAGAAGTGAAATTTGATTTGCCCAGGGAGAATACTCCCAGCTGAGATAAATAAGGTGACGTTCTGCCTTTTCTTTAGCTGTTTTAATGTAAATGAGTGTACTTTTTGTGGCCAATTTAGTGCCATGCTTTTTCATTTTTGTATTTTCCCTTGGTGATTTTGCTATTTAAAATGGCTCACAAGCATAGGACTGAAGCACTGTCTGGTGTTCCTAAATGAGTGTGCCCAGTGGAGTAAATGTGTGTGTTAGATAAGCTTCCTTCAGGAATGAGTTGTGTGCTGATGGCTATGAATTCAATGAAAGAATCAACATACATATTAAATAAGTGTCATCACACAGAAACAGATATAAACAATGTTATTATATTAACTGGTTGATGAAAATGTAACCAGAGGCTCTCAAGAATCTAACTTACATGATAGCAGCAAAAATTCAGTTTTTAAATATTCTCAGGAACCTTATGGAACATAACTACTATGAAGGAGAATCATCTGTGTGTACATGGTAGAAATAAGAGTGGGTTATATTGAATAGTGAAAACATAGAAAATCAAAGAGCTGAAGAAAGAACCCTAGGGAATATCAGCAGCAGCAACGTGGACAGAAGATAAAAGTAAGAGGGGATGCTCAAAAGGATTGCTCGGTAGGTAAGAAGTGTTGAGAAGTGTGCTGAAGAAGGGACAGTCACCAGTGTCCCTACAGCTACAGCACAACTCCTAAGAGACACAGAGATGGTATAATAAGAAAACTGTGTACTTTTGATGTAATGGACCTGAATTTAAAACTTAATTCTTCCCCTAATAGTTGAGTGAAATTCATTCTATTTCTTTTGTCCTCAGTTACTTCTGTAAGTTGAAGAACACGTAATACAGAAAGAAGTTGTAGATTATAGGAAATGACATATGCAATCCATGAAAGTTATCTGTAAATATTATATATTTTATAAATATTTTTAAAACAACTTTTTAAATGATGGAACACTGTGTATTACAATGACCTCTGATTTTGGTATCCAGATTAGTAAAATTATACAAATATGAATTTCTATTTAAATTGTGAAGTTGTAGTTGGGAATAGTTTATAAGACCAAACTGGGTAAGTCCATATGTCATTCTGCCTCTCCTATCTGTATATGATGAATATTGAAAGGGGAATTTTGTCTCCATGGTTCAAGCTGGACTTACTACAGGGCAATTCCCTACTTGAAATTTTCTTTGATCAACATGTCGGGGACTGTCCTGCCTCACATATGTCCAAGCTCAGAAACATCTTTGTCTCTAGAAGAGTTTTGTCACCTCACCAGAACACAAATGAGATTTAAGCCTCATATTCTAAATTACCCTATAAGCATGTTGCCAGCCTCATGTCTGAGCCAATACCATGACTAAGCCCACCTGCTAACAAATATTCAAACTCTGTAACCAATAAATGTATGTCAGACGTGCCTTGTCTGTAACCCCACCACTCCCAGACTATTTCCTCCTTTGCCGAGCCTTGAACGGGGCCAGTCCCCCACATGCAAACACAAACTGGCCCACCAGCATTAAGTAAAGCTTACTTTCACTCTGTCTCCACAGCTCCTGGTATGCTTTCCATCCTCTCGGACTGGCAAAAAGGAGCCATATCAAGTAAATGGAAAGTTTGCTGCCTCAATATCTCTGTTGGTGTTATCTTGTTATTTCTTGACTTTCAATGAAACCTACATTTGAGTTAAATCCCTATTTTCTTCATTCACTCATCCATTCATTCCCTTACTCTAAGTCCTTCAGAATGTGCCTCGAGTCATCACTAATGTAGATCTGTCTCCATCCCATTACCCCATAACCATCTTTCCTCACTTCTAAACTTCACCTGTGTAGTTCTCTGTCGATGTGAATATGATTTTTATTTCCTTGCCTTTACCTGTAGTCCTTTCTGTGCTGGTGCCTATTACAAGCATCTTCCCTTCAAGATTCAATTGGCATTGAGTTCTATGGGGAATTTTTTAATAAAGACACAAGGGCTGTTGTATTCAAAAGAATATCAGGGCAACAAAGGAGAGGTTTACAACAGAATAAATTTAGTCAGTCATCCGATTTCCTCAAGTATAATATAGTTATAACAATGTTTACCTGGCAGAGGGATAGATGTGGTTACACATGCAGTAAACTCTAAAGGAGAAAAAAATTCCCCTACTTTCTCAGAGTCTCCTGCTAAGCCTAAAAATTAAAGTGAGATAAACAGATTAACAGATGCAAACCATGGGTATTTTATTTTATAAAAAGTCTTACATGATGCTGGCATGTTGGCATATGACTGTAATCCCAGCACTTGGGAGGCTGAGGCAGAATGACTGCCATAAGTTCAAGGCCAGCCTGGGCTATGTAGTAAGTTCAAAGCCAGCCTGAACTACATATTGAGACCCTGTCTCAAAAAAAAGCTTTACACAAACCTGGGTGTCCTCACAAGAAAATGCAGAACTAAATAAGGGCTTGGTTTATATATTAGAGTGAACCAAGAATAGCAATTGTGGAAAAGTAACTAGGGAGATTTGGTTAAGTATAAAAAGGTCTGTACCCTCCACTCCCTATCTATAGCGGTAGGCTTTCTTTCCACTATAGGAATAGGAAGGACACCTCTCACATGAGAGTTCAGTTTCTCTCTTTCAGAAAGAAAAAAGGAAAGTCAGAGTGATCTTGCTGTTTTTCAAGGTCTTTAGCTGAAAATAATGAACATATCAAAGCAGCATATTTTGGGGTATGCTGCTCTGAGCTCCAACATTTAGCAGTTATCAACATGTACCAGCAGAATATTCCCTGTCTTATTTTCCCATCACTCAGACAAAATACCCAACACACCTGTACAACTTTAAGAGAGAGAGAGAGAGAGAGAGAGAGAGAGAGAGAGAAAGGGGGGAAGTGGGGGGGATTTATTTATTTACACTCACAGGTTTAGTCCACGGTAGGCTGGCTGTAAGGCAGAAACAGAATGGTAGAGAGCATGGCGGAGGAAAACGTCCTCAAGCCAGGACGACCAGAAAGCAAGGAGAGACGGGAGGAACCTAGAGCAAGAATATACCCTTCTAGGTAACATCCCCAGCGATCTACTTCTACCCAGACCCCACCTCTTCACAGCACATTCAGTTACTGACCTCATCACCGGGTAAGTCTACTGGATAAATCTACTCATCACTGGATAAACCACCTTCCAAACACGAGACTTTTTCAGGATATTTCAGAGCTCAATCATAACATTCCCCTTCACACCCCACACTTCCTACAAAGCCTTACTACAAATTGCAAGACATCTTGGCTGTGCGCTGGGGCGCATGTCTGTAATCCCAGCTCTCACAAGGCTGAGGCAGGAGGATCGCTGTGAGTTCGAGACCAGCCTGGACTATATAGTGAGTTACAGGTCAGTCTCAACCACATAGTGAGACCTGAGACCCTGTCTCAAAAAAACAAAACAAAACAAAAACAGATTGCGAGTCATCTGTTTACATTTTTCTTTTCTCTATTAGATTGTGAGTTTCCTTACCACTGAAGCTATTTCTTTTTGCCTCCACAATCCTAGGACATAAGAGTGCCTGGGATAAGACAGGAGTTTTAAGTCAATCCCAATCATGTGAAGAGAGTTTAATAGGGTCCAGTTCTGAGTGTAAAGAGCTTTCTTTACCCTCAGTACCAATTCATGCTGTGAGGGCAATATACCATCCCATCCTCCATAGGGAAAACGAGAGAATGAGCAGAGCTAGAAAGGTGAAGTTGCAAGGTGTACCTGATAAAACAGGTTTTCACTGTTGCCTCAAAGGAACCGCAAGTCAACTCTTCTAGGGCAATCTACAGTGCCTTCAATCGAGGGGCGGAGTGAACACTGACAAAGCACAGAAATTCCATGGGCCAACTTTCTGTGGGCGGGGCGGGGGGACCTGACAGGGTAGGTGGTGATCCACCGCGAGTAGATGGATTTAGCCGGCTGGTGGAGTGGGAATGAGCCGCGGGCTCCGCCCCCTACTGGGGTTCGCAGCGAGACCCGCCTCTTCCCGGAGTTGCTAGGCAACCAGTGCCGGAAGTAGGGGGAAGTGCGTCCGCGGAGGCGCCGCAAGGCGGCGGAAGATGGCGGAGAGTGGCGGGGCAGAGAGGGATGAAGCGGAGAGGGTGTCTTCCAGGCCACGGCCCCCGAGCGCGCGGGACTTACAGGTGCGAGAACCTGCGGACGCAGGGGGCGCGGAAGTGCTGCGCGTTTGACGGCGCGGGCGGGCGGGCCCGAGTCCCTTCGGAGGACCGAATTGCGCCTCCAGCGCCAGGGTCTTCCCGGCGATGCGCTTTTGCACAGTGGCTGTTGTAGAAACTGGTGCCCGAGCCTCCACTGCCGGTGCCTCATTTCCCTTCCGCTCTATGTACGATTCAAGAAGCAACTGTTTAGAGTGGAGAGTGCTATTTTGTTGAGTCCAGTGAGTTACGGCTTTATCGTGAGACTTACAGTGCTTTATTGTCACAGGTGGTAAATCAACAATCACTTGAAAGTGTAACTTGTTCTGGCTTGTTCTTTCGTATGTGGGACGCTCTTTCTGACAGAATTCCTTAAATATAAATATTTTACCAAGCAGCTCTTCTTTTTTAAAGAGGTAAACTACATCCAGTGTATCCTGGCTATAAAAGATAGCAAAACAATCCTTATAACGAACGAAGAAATAAAATTTTGTAATGTTGCGGAACACAGACGTTAGCCAATTGTAAGTGCATTATCTTAATTTTATCAGGCGCTAACACCACTTTGCTTGTGTTAGACTCTGTCTCCTTATAGAGTTGTAGATGAAATTCAACAAGTAAACAGCAGTGAGAAGTTATAATTAAAACTAAATGAGAGGGATTGATAAATCTTGGCAGAAAAGATTTATAGCTGCACCTGCATTCTACCATGTTGTTTATTCGTAAAATCTGGGGAATGCACAGAGAAATTGTACATCAAATTTGGGGCAGTGCTATATACTGGTGAAGAGTATTAAAATTTGTATACCGTGGATTTGGAGGAGGCATCTAAACTGGACTCAGTGGACTAATACAGTGTTTAATTGCAATAAACTCAGTTTTGGTGGATTGTAAGTGGCCTTGTAGCCAATTAACTGGTTAAACTGTAATCAGTTGAATGGTTGACAAAGTTGTACCCAATTAAGTATTTTTCTGTGCCTCACTTTCCTGTAAATGCTGTCGGATTACATTGTTGCTTGGAGTTCTGTTTTAACAGCATAAAAATGTTAAGAAGCATTTCTACCTTTTGGAAACCTTCACACTTTTTTGAGAAGTAGGATGTGAATACATTTAATGTAGCATGTTAAGATAAAGTATCACTGAGTGCCAAAATAACATGAATTTGGAGAATGGAAAGATCAGTTTAAGGTTAGGAAATGACGGGTAATAGTCCAGTGACCATAGTGGAGTCAATAATTATAATTCAAGTAATAGAATAATCTGTTTTATACTTCATCTTTTCTAATATGGACCTAAGAGATAGCATAAGTGTTTAGAAAAATGGATCAGTGGCCAGATCAACTTTGATTTATATATTGGACTTGCTACTTAGTACTGTAGGTTTGTGAATTTAGTAGAAATTTGGTAATGTGTTTGATGCTACGTTCCTTTATTTGTAAACTGAAGATGATAGTTGTGGTGGTGTAAGAAATAATGTCTAAAAAGAGTCTGAGCAAAATTTCTGTATTACCCTTATTCTTTGCTTGTTGGATGAATTGTAACTTTTACCAGTCAGTCCACTCTAATGTCATTAAAATTAAACATCTTAACCAACTGACCCAATTCTCCTCCAGAATAATGTCAAAAGATGGTTTGTTTCCATGTAAGTTAATTTGGGGTAGGGGCTGGATAAGGGATACAGTATCTAGGGTTAGGATTTAACTTGATAAAGAGTGGTCTGGGTGCTTTAGATTTCTTTTCAAGTTCTTCATATACTAAATTCTACGGGGAAGTTTGTCAGTACAGGTTCTCTCTCATTTGGTAGGTTTAGGACCAGAAATGTCTCAGATTTTAGAATATTTGTATAGACTTTCTGGTTGAGCACCCTAATGCAAAAATCTAAAACCTGAATGAAGTACTCCAAAATCCAAAACATTTTGAACACCATCCTGATGAAGTATTTTCTCTGTATTATTGAAAGATCATAAATTTTGAGGTTTTGTTATTTTAAAAAATAATTTTATTGGTACATTTAAGGTATACAGTGTAATGACATTCATCATTGGAAATTTGCACCTTTACATAATCCACCTTTAGTTCTTATTTTTTCCCCATTCGGCTGTCTACCCTTCAACCCCTCCACCTGTCCCTATCTAGAAAGGCTTTGTTTCCATATTTTCTTTTTCTCATGTTAATTCCATTCCCTTCTTTCTTTTCCCCTACCCCTCCCATTTCCCCTTCCCCTTTGCACCTTTTCTTCCTATTTCACATTATCTATTATACCTTTTAGTCCTTATTTACACTTTCAGTTTCTCACATTAGAGAAACTATTCAGTACTTACATATGTATCCTATTTATTTCACTTACAATTATGGTCTCAATGTGCATGCATGTAACTATAAATGCCTCTAGTTTCTCATTGTTTTTGGTTGAGTAGTGCTCCATTTTATTTATTTATTTTTTTAACACATATTTTCTTTATCCAGTCTCCTGTTGATGAGCAGTTGGCCTGCTTCCAAGTTTTAGCCCTCACAAATTGTGCTTCTATGAACATGGGTGCATATATATCACTATGGTATGACTCTTTTTTTAATGCCTTGGGGAAGATACCCAGCAGGGAGATAGCAAAGTCAAATGGGACCTCGACTCCTACTTCTTTAAGGTATCTGCATACTGATTTCCACAGTGGTTGCACCGGTCTATACTCCCACCTGTAGTGGAACAGGGTTCCTCTTTCCCCACAGCTCCACCAGCATTTGTTATTGATTGATTTCATGATAACAGCCATTATTTCTGGGGTGAGGTGGAATCTCAGTGTTGTTTTCATTTGCATCTCTTGAATGATCAGTGATAGTGAGCATTTTTTCATATGTTTATTTGCTACTTCTTCTTTGTCTGAGTAATGTCCCTTCATTTCAGATGCCCATTTTTGCATTGGGTTTTTAATTTGGGAGGTGTGATTTTTTTTTTTTTAGGTCTTTATATGTTCTATATAGTAGATATTTGTCTGAGGAAGAGCTGGTGAAGTTTTTCCCACATTGTGGGTTGTCTCTTCACACTATTGGTTGTTTCTTTTGCTGTGCAGAAGCTTTTTAATAAGAGATTCCACTTGTTGATTGTGCTAGTTCATGGGCAACAGAGGTTTTGTTCATAGGCCCAAAGTCTTCGAGAGTTCTACCTAACCTCTCTTCCAGCTGGTTTAGTGTTTGTTTTAATAATCCACTTTGATTTTAGTTTATAGCATGGTGAGAGATATAGGTCTAGTTTTAATCTTTGGCAGGTTGAAGCCCAGCTTTTCCAGCACCATTTTATTAAAGAGGCTATCTTTCCTCCAGTGAGGGTGTTTGGCTGCTTTATCAAAGATGAGGTAGCTGAGTACATCTGGAGTTGTTTCTGTATCTTCCAATCTATTCCACTGATCCTCGGGTCTTTTTCATTGCCAGTGCCATGCTGTTTTTATTACAGTGGCTTTGTAGTGCAGTTTCAAGTTGGGGATTGTGATGTCTCTGTTGCCTAGAATGGCTTTTGCTATTCTGGTTCCAAATGAATTTTTGGATTATTTTCTCTAGTTCTGTGAGATATACCATTGGAATTTCAATTGGAATTGCATCGAATCTGTATAGCAGTTTTGATAGTTTTGGGCCTTTTCTTTCCTTTTTTGGATAAAGTTGGCTTAGGGTTTGTCAATTTTGTTTATTCTTTCAAAGAACCAACTCTTGGCTTTGTTGACTTTTTGCGTTGTTCTCTTAGTATTCATTACATTAATTTCTGCCCTGATCTTTATAATTTCCTCCTTTGTATAAACTTTGGTTTTGTCCTGCTCTTTTTCTAGAAGCTTGGGGTTCAGCATCAGGTTGTGTAATTGAGCTCACTCTGTTTTCCTAATATGAGTATTCACTGCTATAAATTTCACTTGTAAGATTGCTTTCATTGTGTCCATAGATTATGTTGTACTGTCACTGTCATTTCATTGTAGGAACTGTTTGACTTTTTTAGTTTTCTCTGTGACCCATTGGTTATTCAGAAGTCTGTGTGTTGTTCAGTTTCCATGTGTTAATGAAGTTCTTGCATTTTTCTTTTGCTATTGATCTCCATCACACTATGGTCTGATAATATACAGGGGATAACTTCAGTTCCTTTGCACTTACTTAAATATGTTCTGTGAGTGAGTTTATGGTCTATTTTGGAGAACAATGCATGTACAGCCAAAAAGAATGTGTATTCTGATATTGTGGGGTGGAACATTCTGTAAACATGTTAAGTTCATTTGTTCAAAAGTTTGAGTTCTACTATTTGCTTGTTTACTTTTTGTCTCATTGATGTATTTGTGACAGTGCAGTATTGAAGTCCCCCAGTACTATTGTATTAGTGCTTATATGACTTTTCATGTCCATTAGTATTTGTTTTATATAGTTGGGCGCACTTGTGTTTGGTGCATATATATTTATGATTGTCATCTCTTCCTTTTGGATTGTTGCCTTTACAAGGATGTAGTATCCTTCTTTGTCTCTCTTAATCAGTGTTGGTTTGAAATCCACTTGATCTGCAAAGAGGATAGCTAACTCCTGCTTTTTTTTTAGTTCCTAGCACATGGAGTATTGTTTTCCACCCTTTTAACTTTCAGTCTATGAGTTTCTTTTTTAATTAAGTGTGTTTCTTGTATGCAGCATATTGTTGGATTTTGCTTCTTGACCCATTCTGCCAGTCTATTTCTTTTCATTGGTGAATTGAGACCATTAACATTGATGGTTATAACTGATGTGTATTGACCTATCCTTGTCATGACTTTTTCTTTTTGTGGGATTCTCCCCCTTTGCATTTAATTTCTTGTTGTACCTGATGGACTTATTCTTCTAGGTTTCCTGGGGTTGTGATCCTCATTTCTTTTTGTAGGATATTGTTTAAAATTTTTTGGAGTACTGGTTTAATATTCATGAAATTCCTAAGGTGCTCTTTGTCATGAAAGTACCTTATTTCTCCATCAGTTTTGAAAGAGGTTTTGCAGGGTACGTGAATCTGGGTTGGAGATTGTTTTCTTTTAGGGCTTGAAAATACATTACTCCATGCTCTTCTTGCCTGTGTGTGTTGAGAAGTCTGCTGTGATACTGATAGGCTTTCCTTTGTACGTGATGTGTTTCTTTTCTCTAACTGCTTGTAGAATTTTGTTCTGCTGGGTTTCTGGAATCTTAACTATTATAGGCCTATGTATAGATTTGTTTTGTTTTGTTTTGTTTGGTACTGGGGATTGAACTCCGGTCCTTAGGCTTGCAAGGCAGCCCACCGAACCGCTGAGCTAAATCTCCAGCCCCGATTTTGTTTTTTTTTTTTTTTTTTGATCATGGAGTTGTATAAGCCTCACTTATCAGTGTGTCATGTTCTTTTCGTGTATTTGAGAAGTTTTCTCTCATTACTTCTGTGAACAGTTTTTGATGTTATCTGCACTCTGTCCTGTTTCTTCATTGACTCTGAGTAGTCTTATGTTATTCTTTGAATTGTCTAGCAGCTGCTGGATTGATCTCTCATGGTCCCTTATTATTTTGAAGAGATTTTTCTTTTCCTTCTCACTACTTGGAATCCTATCTTCTGTTTCTGAAATTCTATCCTCTCATTGGCTCGTTCTGCTGTGTAGACTTTCAGTGGAGCTTTTAATGTCTTGGAAATCTATTTGCATCTGAATTATGGATTTCATTTGTTTCCTGTATTGGGATTCCATCATGTTTCTCAGATCTTCTATTTTTTTAATCTGTGTCCACTTTAGATTTATCATGTCTTGTACTATGGGTAAAATCTGTGCTGCTATCTGAGAGATTATTTCTGATCTCATTTTTTCCAGGTCCTCTTTCATTGCTAATTCAGGGAGTCCAGGTGGTTGAGTATCAGATTGTTCCATCTCGTTTCCATTTGGGGTTGCCTTAGGTGATCTGGGAGTCTGGTTCAGGGATTTGTTTCTGTGTCTTCTCATTTCATCAGATGCAGCCTGCTGTGCCTTTGTTGAGAGAACTTTTTTGCTCACCCAGTGGTCTTCAATTCTCAGCAAGCCACCAAACAGCCTTTACTCTGCTGTTCCCTAGTACACCAATTCTTGGGTTTAGAATGGTGGCCTTCTATATCCCTGAGCTGACCTGTTGTCTGAGCAGACTTCTGCTTGGGGCCTATGTGCACTTGGGATGGTGTCTCTCTCACTGGGGCCCTTATGTAGTTGTTGTCTGGGAGGGCCTTTGGCTGGGGTCTGTGTATCCCAGTTCATATTGTTTGTGTAGGCTTCTGGCTAGGGTCTTCAGGCACTTATCAATGGTATCAGGCAAGTCTGTGGCTGTTGCTTATGCATCTTTGTAGTTCTTTTCCAGGTGGGCACTTGACTGTGGCCAGTGGTATGGCAGGACTCTGGATGAAGCTTACATGCCTGTGCAGCTCTTTTCTAGGCCGACTGTGGCTTGGGCATGTATGACCACACCTCTGGGTTTGGGGCTGGACCCTGGCTGGGATCTGCCTGCAGCCGTGCCACTCTGGTCCACACAGCTGCTCCCCAGGATGTGCACGCACTTATAGATGGTGTGGCGAAACTCTGGATGTAGGTTGCATGCCCATGCTCTTTTCTAGGCGGTCTGTGGCTTGGACACATGTGCCCTGCACTCTGGGGTCAGGGTGGGGCCCTAGCTGGGACCTGCCTGCAGCTGCACCATTCTGATCTACACAGCTGCTCCCTGGGATGTACACGCACTTACTGATGGTGTGTGTGGTGGAACTCTGGATGAAGGTTACAAGCCTGTACAGCTCTTTTCTTGAGATGTTGTTATTTACTGATTTTAACCAGTATTTCAGTTAATTTTTATTAAATTATCACTTTGTCTTTGGTGTGGTATCATCTGTTTTATAAAATATGTTTAAAATTTTTGCATTTACTAGTGAACCTATATTACATGATACCATATGGCATCAATTGTTTCTAAGTGTCACTTCAGAATTAATGGTTTTCCATAAATAACTACAGTAGGTCCTTTTGGCTAGTATGACTCACCACTCTAGTGTCATTTCCCAGTATACTTATTTTGTTGATATATGGTCCACATTCCATGGAGTAAAAAATACTCGCTCTATTCATTTATTTTACATAAGAAAATACTATTTGTTAAGCATCATTTTATTTAAATCTTTTTAAAGCAAAAAACAAGGTACAAAAATCAACGAATATTTCAATTAAAAAATCTATAACTATATCAAACTGTCTATATGTTTATGATGCATGTTGTTATAGTCTTTATATAATTCAGTGTGTCTATTATATACTATATTACAAAAATTTAGGAAACTTAAATTCTAGTAGCGTAGATAATACAGTAAAAATATACAGATACAGACAGATTGTCCCTCCTTAATCTGAAAAATAAAAAAAATTTGAAATGCTCCAAAATCTAGAATGTTTTAAACACATGAGTTATGGCTTTTGGAGCATTTCAGGTTTTTGAAATTTGGGTTAGAGATGTTCAATTAAGTTTATGCAAACATTCCATAATCTGGAACTTAGACCTGTAAAACACATCTAGTCCCAAACCTTTCAGATAAAGGATACTTAACCTATAATCACAATATGTTGTTTTAATTTAAATGTCATTACAGGATAATATATGCACTAAGGAGTTACCCAAGAAAGATATTTGGTTAAAAAAAAATAAAAGTTTTTACATAAGGTATCATAAATGGCTCTTTGAAATACAGAACATACTTCCATTGATGAAAATAGGAATACTATGAAAGTAATTCACAGAGCTGTAATACTATAATGGCTCAGAAAGAAATTCCTGAAAGAATACTCTTTTGAAGAGATTTCAAGGAGGTAAAATTAATGAAAATTTTAGAAACAAGTCATCTGTCATTTTCTCCCTCTCCTGCTCCTTTGTTTTGTTTCATTTTGTTTTTTGGAAGAGACCAAGTGGTAGAAGACCATAGGAGCTACACAAACAGTACTGCTGAAAGGAAGGAAATCTTCTATTGATGGAGCCCACATGCTGTGTGCTTTATGATTAATCCTTCAAATGACCCTCAAATGATAATTTTGTAGATATTTAATGATGTAAAGATCAGACTGGGGATTTCGCTCAGTGGCACCACACCTGCCTGGCAAGCACAAGGTCCTGAGTTTGATCTCTGGTACTACAAAAAATTTAAAAGAAAAAAAAACAAAAATCATCTTGGCCAGGAATTTAGCTCAGTGGTTTGGTGGCCTGCCTTGCAGGCGCAAGGACCGGAGTTCAATCCCCGGTACCAAAAAAAAAAACAAAAAAACAAAACAAACAAAAAACAAAAAGAAAAGAAAAAGAAATAAAGATGTAAAAATGAAGGCTCAGAGAAGTTAAATAATTTACTGAAGATCATACATTAAGAGCCTAAATTAAGATTTCACTTTATTCTTTTAAGATTACAAAGCAATTTGTAATTTGGATTTCTAGCAAAATTACCATGTTAGAAATACAAGTTGATGTATGTGTAAGGTCATGGGGTAGATTGAAGTAAAGAAAATTAGGTGAAAATGGAATCTTTTAATTTTTTTCTTCTTTGTAAATATTTTAAAAATTGACTCAGAATTCTCAAACAGAGCTGTGATGTAGCCCAGTGGTATAGTGTTTTCCCTAGCACTGCAAACAAAGAGTTAACTTTGCCCTAATTCTGTTCTTTTTTTTTTTCCCCTACTCAGGAAAGAATTCATAGTGATAGTTATCATACATTTGCGCTTCCAAAAGGAACACTTTATCTGTTTTATTTTGTTTTGTTTTGTTTTCATTTTTGTTTGGTTTTTTGAGAAGAAGCACCCAATGTCTAAGGTCATGCCAATTATAACTGAATAACCACAGAAAGTTTAGGAATAAAATTTTTAGTTATTGTTCAAAGATATCAAAAGTGGGGACAAATAAATACTGAAATATTTGTAATATTGTTTTAAAATAACATTTCAAGGACAAATATAGTTATTTCATTTTGAAGCTATCCACTATAATATATAATTAGGTAATACTGTGTTGCTTTCTCAATGACATACTGTACAAACATAATGTGTAATTCATTGGTTTATATTTTTCAGAAACTCATTTGCTAAATTTGACATTTATGTCTGAGTGACTTTTAAACAGCACTTTTGAAATTGTTTTATGTCCTTGGATTTTGGAAACATTTACATAAAATTATTTTTGAGACCTGATGAAAGAAACTGACATTAGTGAGAAAAAGCTTCAAGAATTCTTAAAAGAGTCGGAAGAGGGTTATATAGGTCCAAATTTGAAAATTATTTGTAACCTGAGGCAGTTTTAGAAACTTTTGAGTAATTGATGAAAAATAATTAGTTATTGTAACTTTTATTTCATATATATGACACTTGGTTCTGTGAGACATGCAATGAATTTATTTGAAAATGGGTCACCTTTTGAAGTGACAATCTTCATTTTTTCATAAGAACAATGTACTGCTCAATTTCAAGTTAATAGTATATCCGTAAATTTTATAGAATAATTTATTTCTAGTATTACACTTTATAACAAGCCTCTTACCCTACAGTTGGCCCTCGCAGAATTATATGAAGATGAAGTGAAGTGCAAATCTCCCAAGTCTGATAGACCTAGAACTACAGTCTTTAAGAGCCCACACACACCACAACGGTATGTTTTGTTTTTTAGAAATTATAAAAGCATTTAGGAAGAATCTAATCATGAGCAAAACCCCTTTTTAATTCACAAATCCTAAACTATTCAAATGGCTCTGGGGATTTTTTAAATTAATATTATTAAAATAATTAAAGATTTAATCCCAAAATCTTTATAGTCAAAAAGCTAACAAAAACTTACAAAATTATCTTAAATACCTGTTACTTTAGTAGGCATCTTATGAAATGGTACCTTGGATGCTATTTTTCTTGGGAATAGTGGTTCTTTAAAATTACTTGAGTTATAGGATTCATTTAGGATCTGGTGAAAGTTGCAGGCTCTCTCTTTCCAAAGTAACATTCATGTACAATTTTGTCATTTCTTTTTAAGGGTTCATATGTTTGCTAAAGCTCATCCACCTGAGGATCTTTTTCTGGCTTCCATTTAAGGATCTTTAGCTTTTGAATTCTGTCCCTGCTGTTGTATGATGCTTTGTCTATAAGTGACCTTTGGATATGTTTGCTATTCACATACCACTGTGGAGATTGAAAAGATGAGAATCAAGTATATTTTTTACTAGGAGTACTTCTGTTAATGTTTTCTTAGTACTGCAGATCTTACCCCTTGGGAGAAACTTGAATTTTCTGTTGATATCTCATTCTCAGAAACTAATTATATCAAAAGTTGAAGTTTTTATCAGAAATTCTGTTTCTTAGTTTGTCTCTACACATTATTTTTGTAGAGGAGGTGAAAATGATATATCTTGACCTGAATAAAAAGAAAAATAGTGATTGTAACATCTCCTCCAGGTTTTTATTTTGCTGTTTTGAATCTATAGAAAATCAAAAGGCTAGTATAATGAATAAATACTGACTGTACTTCATCTGTATTTACTAATTATCAGTGTGTTACAATTTTGCATGCTAATTCTTATTTTTACTCAACTGTTTGAAAGAATATTGTAGTTGTCGTGATACTTTATCTCTATATACTTGAAGGTGCTTGATAACATATTGAACCTTAAAAACTTAACAGTGAGCCAGATGCAGTGACGTATGTATGTAATCCCAGCTACTTGGCAGGCTGAGGAAGAAGGATCCAAGGTCAGCCTGGGAAACTTAGCTAGACTCTGTCTCAAAACAAAAAGGCCTAATGGTATAGATATAGTTCAAGCATAGAGCACCTAATGTCCACCACCCGCCGCTGCGAGTACTGCACAGAAAACAAATGATTCTATGACATCATTTAGCCTGTAGTCTGTAGGCAGATATTTCTTACAGTCTTTTCTTGGGATTAGGATTTGATTATTCCTGTTTTAAATTTTTGCGTCTGGCACATTTTTGCCATGTTATTTCTTTTTTTTAACCTTTTTTTTTTTTTTTTTTT